TCCCCCCCCCCCCCCCCCCCCCCTTACCTCCTTCACTCTTCTGGATTTTGCCCAGCTTTGGGTCGGCACCATCCTGTAATTCGACTTACTTAAAAAAAACAAGGAAATAAAAAGTTTTTAAATACATCACAGAATCAGAGGATTTTTTTTAGAAAGAAACTTTAATGAGTCATTAATTTGTCAGCATATTAGTATATTGTCGGTTTCAGGTATACACGATAGTTGATGGTGGTATTGACAAGCATGTGGTCCCACTCATCGAAAATATTTTCTCCTCGGATGCAGTCGATTTTATTCCATATGCACTACAGATAACATGTAATCTTTTTCCTAATTTTAGCGGTTTTTCAAATTTTAACAGTTTTGTTTTTATTAAAATTTATACAGAACACAAAAGTTTAAATAAAAATATTGCTGGAATATCACTGGAAGTTGATTCTTATCATTTAACCTGATTTCAGCTTTATTACTTGATCAAGCTCAAGCGCAGAAACTGAAAGGAGGTACATCATACGTAGATTCGTATTTGCCATTCTTTGAAAATTTGATGAAAGAGGAACTCTGGCTTCGAACAGCGAACATCCCTGCTGCATTATTGGTATTTTTTTTTAAAGTTTTTGCTCTTTTTTCGCATATTTTCAACCCCGCCAGTGAAAAAAAAAAACCACGATTCATACGTTCATTTGGATTCTTAAATTGGTACTGATGCTTTTCGAGGATTACTTTGAAGCAACTCTCAGAAAAAAGAAGAATTATCGAAAGATGTACTAGCGAGATTTTGCTGTTGGCACTTGCTGTCTTCGAAGTACTTCTGAGCGCCTCCGCTTCTGGGGAGTGGGACTAATCCCCGACGACTGCTAACAGTCCGCTTATGGTAGATGGAAGGGGGAATGGTTTGCTGTGGGTTCCGTTCGGGACGAGGAAAGAAGCTGGGATAAGAAAGGGGGTTGGGGCCAGAGCCCCGTAGGGTCGGGATCCGGTAAGACTGATGCCCGGAGGGACCGGACTCCATGGGCTGAGACCCCTTGAGCCAGGAATCCTTGTGGTTGATGCCCCGTGGGGTCAAGTTCCTTTGGGTTAAATCCACAGTCACCCCTCTCCCCCTTTTCCGCACTTCAGTGGAGGGGGATTGGAGAAGAGGGGGCAAAAGTTGACTGTTGATTTAGGTGTTTAAACAAGGAGATAAAATGCCGAAATAAATAATCAAAATTTATTATGAATTATTGTTGTCCTTAAAAATCCCTTAAACTTGTATGAGGATTACCGATTTTAATTATGATTATCAAGATTTCGAAATGAAGCATAATTAACATGGTTTCAAAATGAATCATAATAGAAATGAACAAAATTAGTAGTTATTACGAATCAAGTTGACAATTATTACAAATTTCTGTTTTACTAAACTATTATCTTCATTTTTCTTTAAGGCATTTTCTGGATTTTATTCGAAAAAAACTTTAGAAGTTTCTCATCGAGTTTTGCAGGTGGTTGAGTCATTTTTGCGTAGTCATACAGAGCATATTTTGAAAAATTATGCAAACATTTTGTTGGCGATCTTCCAAAAACTTATTGGGTCGAAAGCATTGGATCAGCATGGATTTCAGCTAGCTAACACATTCTTAAATTATATCGGTGTAAGTTTTTTTTTCTCCAATTTCGCGGCAAAAATGCACCGAGAGAAGGAAGGATTTATTGAACATCCAGATTTAATCTAGAGCTTTTTTTCTAATTTTTTCGATTTTTTCTAAACAGGAGTGTTTCTCCCCACCAAGTCATGTGCATTCCTGTTCAGCGCTGCAACTGGACCTTTTCTGGCCAAGGAAGGCCATTGCTGGACTCTTTTTGTTGGTACCATGAAAACTACTGTTTTTTTTTATTCAAATTTTAGCAAACAGATGTGATTACGGAACCGGCACTTTTGATTCCAATGCTACGACGTGTTCAGTTCTCGAAAACAACAAAATTCATGAAAAGCTTTGTTTTATTTCTTGCCCGATTTGTGATTGTTCGAGGAGTTTCATCTTTATATCAGGTACTTTTTTTTTCATGCCTGAACGCCCTCAAATTTGCGATTTTTGAGCAGTGCATCGTATCGATTAGATGGGAATCGGGACTTTTTGAAGGACAAACGCTGGTATATTTTCGAGGTACTGTGGGATGAGTTGCTAGATTTGATTGTTAGGGCATTTGGCTTGCGATTTTGCTAGAAATTAAAACAGTGAAATATTGTCTAGTTTGACTACCTAGAAAAAAGACGGAAAAAAGAGTACTATAATTGTGCGCTTTGCTGGCATCTAACAGATATTATATTGCAGCGATTAGTATCGAAAAGGGAGTTTGAAAGGGAATTACCTCGTTTGGGAAAAACAGCAGGTGTTCAAGTTATCAATTCTCAGCAAGAGGAAATAATGGCGAAAAATAACGAGCCCACTTCATTTGAGATTGAGTGAAAAAACCAATAACTAATCAACATTGCTATTGCTGTCACAGACAGAGTCCCTTTTTGAAAATGCTTATGGACCGGGATGGGAATCGAACCACTCGTCTTCACATCCGGATGCAACGTGCTAGACCACTACACTACCGGCCCTTGTGCTCCACGCTGCTGTTGGAACAGCAGTGTTCTCTGCGTATGCCACCTCCATATATACTCTGTATCATCTGGCTGCTGCCACATCCTTCCAGCATTTGCTGACTTTTCGCGGGACTTCCACAACAGCTGCTTCAGCTTACCCTCAATGCTATTAACAATTTTTTTACATTTTTCCATCATTCGCATGAGAGGAGGTCCGGAGGGTTTTTACTGTCATGAGGTCCCAGAAGAAGATATTTCTTAAAATGTTACGCTTGGCAAATTTTGCTCCCGGAATTCCGTGGTCATGAAAAATACTTACTATTTTTTTCGTTTTATATAATATCGTCGTTGTTTCCCACGAAAAAAGGTGGTACTGATTTCTTTTGGTTATTAATTTTATGATTTTTTTTCAAATACAGGCACTGGAATCTATTCAAACGGGTATGTATATGATGGTTGTTGAGAAGATTATCATTTCTGAATTGGAGAAAATGCATAATACAACAACGTACGAAGAAAAGCGAATATGCTGCGTTGGCTTTGCTAACCTTTTGGCCGAAACAGTTGACAAATTAGGGTTTGTTGATTCTTGCTAATCGTTATCATGAGTTATCGTGATTTTTTTTTTTTTT